TGATTGATTGAACATGTTTATTAATAAAAAACATCATAATTTAAATCGAACATTGCTCGCAACAAATACGTTCACCAATGTCTTTGTACTTACTGTTCGTGTATAATATGATGCAGTCTCTCGGAGCTCGTGAAGTAAGCGCGAGTGACAGTCGGCAATAAGCACAATCGCGTACCTTGGCGTGCATGTTGCACGTCTTTGAGGCTTGTCGCTTCCGGTTGTTGATGTTTCGTAGCCCTAGTGGTACTCGGCAATTAGAATCACAGTAATTATTCCGAATTTCTTTCAGCGATCGAGCGGATCCTGGCAGATCCGTTCCATCCTGAGCCTGGCATTCGATTTACTCGGGCATTAGATTCACAGTAATTATTCCGAATTGCTTTCAGCGATCGAACGGAGCCTGGCAGATCGCCACGAGACGCGGTCGCAAAGAGAAAAGTCAGAGCGGCAGACAAGAGGCATGTATACCGGGCGCCCCGCTGCGGCGAGACGCCGAAACACACTGGTCCCGAGCGATAAAATGTCCGCTCGTGCTTCATCGCGTTCCTCGGGCTACCGCTTCTTTTCTCGTCGGGTTTGAGAACCATGTTTCGGGTCCTCGCCGCTGCAAAAGCTGTGCGCTGAATACCAAACTCGCCGAGCAATGCTCTGTGCTACCAGATCCTCGCGCTCCATATCTGCGACCGGGCACTCATGGCTCCGTCATCGAACTGCCAAGTTTTGTGATTATAGAGGAGGCTATGACTGAATACATGCACTGGACACGACCGTTCCAACGAGATGACCCCTCTATTCGCTCGCGCAAATGTTTTTAAAGGAGACGTACAACGATAATGGGTAGGAATGTTTCTCACTTTATACTGGCACCAGACGGACCCAGGCTATACTCGCACGCAACGACACTGACCAAGAGCATTAATTGTCACCGCGTAATTTCAAGAGTAAAAGCGGGCGTTTTGTCTCTCTCTCTTTCCCAAGAATTGAAGACGAAGTTGAGGGGACAGCATTGTTGGCGTTGTCAACAATGCGATCCCCGGAGATTTCGTCACCAAGATTATACTTCGTTTCATTTTATCTGCGAGCGAAGCCAAAGCTATAGAAGCGCGAAACCAGCGCTTTTTGCGTTTCTGCCCAGCTCGCGCGCTCGAGCAAAGCCTGAAGGCACGGAGCTTTCGTGCTCGCGCTTCCAGCTTTGCCTTCGCTCGCACATAAGGTGAAACGAAGTATAGTCCTGGCCGCGTTGACGATGTTCAAGTGCGGCTCATAGAGTGTACGCGAGCCCTACGTGATGAGCACTCGACTTGGGCTCGTGACAATGGATGTCTCGACATGCATTCGGGTAGTGGCTCGTGCCCAATTGCTCCGATAACGGGAATAGCCAAACCTTAACAATGTACGAAACTCAGCGCGTGTCCTGTGCTTTGCCAACCCCAGTGCGCGTGGCTATGATAAACATTGGCGGCATATAATCGGCTCCAGATCACGTGGCCGCTTGTTCTGGCTGCGAGCCGAGGGGGTAAACGCTGCTCCTTTTCCTTGATATTTTTTTCAACTATTGTGTGGGAAAAAAAAACACAAAAAAACTAACGCATGTTTTGTAGGTTATGAATGTCAAAGAATAATTCTAAGCGGTATTTTACTGAAAGTACAGAAAGAACAGCCTGCCTTTACATATATTTTCGTAAGACAATGAGGAGTATTCACTGGACGCCATATTTGTGAGTGCTGTTTAGAGTGCATGCTCAGAACGAACTCACATTTCTAGGTTGCTAAGACCGGCAATCTTGATGGTGTGGAATGCACGTTGCAAAAGAACTGTGGAAGCTCGCCATGGAGCACGCGCTCAGCAGACGCGCACACGGCTATGGCCGCCAGTGAGTACTCCCTATACACTCCGTGCGGGAACTATAGGGGGCGCTTTGAAAAACGCGCGCAGCGCCGCTAGCGGAGGAGCTGGCGTTCGACCGTGAGGCGCGTTCAGCAGCCTGCGGCGCCTTTTCGCATGTCAAGCTGTGGCGACGGAAGCGCGCACGGACGAAACTTTTGCTTTTTGAGCCGATTCGTTGAGGGTGACGTTGCATGAATGCTGGGGCAGACCTAAGAAGGGCATTTACCTGTTCTCCTCTTCTTAAATATTGAGTTTTAGTCGTTATTCGGGGGAATTTCTCTAGTTGCGGCCAAAAAAGGAGTTGGAGCAGTTTTCCGAAAAGCAAGACGGCCGCCACCATAATTCCTCTGAGTGGGAAATTTGTTTCGCTCGTTGCTGTAAACGTAGGACTGCTGGAACGATGATATTGGAGGCGAGTAAGATGTCCACTAAGTTTCTGCACGAAGTGTGCCAAGTTTCATTAAGACAGCAGGTGTGAAAGTTTTTTCTAACGAATAAAGAAATAAAGCTGTACGGTATATCCAATATTGGACCCAAAATGTTGTGTTATAGCGGGCTGTGCAAAGTGCAGATTTGGGCACACAGGTGCTTGGACTTGACAGTAACATGACACAGCACTTATTATAAAAAAAAAAAAAAAAAAAAAAGGTGGCATAGGGAAACCAGGGGAAAATTTGGTTTGGGCGGCGTAACTCAGTGGGAACCGGTTTTGACCATGAAAAGGCTGTCAAGAGAATAACACTGGTCGGGGGAGGTGGAGACTTTAGAGGTAGGAAGGGACTAGTGGACTGTACTTCCAATTGAAACAACTTTACGAAAGGTGGTTCCAAAGCCGAGAAAGCAAAGTTGTCGGCCAACACACGGTTTGGCCGTCAAGGGCTTTTGCGGTCAGCTGTTGTGTAATAACCTGTTGTGCGAGGTGCTGATTTTCGGCCCACAGGTACTTTGACATGACCGTAACTTGGCACAACACTTATTATAACAAAAATAGTTGGCAAAGCGAAACCAGGTGGAAATTTAGTTTGGGCGGCGTAACTAAATGGGAACTGGCTTTGACCGTCAAAGGCTGTCAGAAAATACCACTCACCGTGGGAGGTGCACACTTTACAGGTAGGAAGGGACCAGTGGACGGTACTTCCAGTTCGAAGCACTTTGCGATAGGTGGCTCTAAAGCCGAGAAAAAAAATATTGTTGTCTACAGAACTCGGGGTGTCAGTGTTTCCACATCCAAAAGGAGGCTGACCAAGAAAGAAAGCACACCACATAAACTTCCATACTCAAACGCCGATTCTCCAGTGATTCCGAGTTTCATGGTTGTTTTCTTTAGATTTATATTTGTCACTTTTTTACCATTCAAAATCTTTCTTCATGAAGTACAGATTGCGTGCCATATTTGTCCGGAAATATCATCGACACATACGATGGGGACGAAACTTCTTTGGAGGGCATTCCTCCAACTGCATACCCGCGAGTGGGGGATGGCATTTCAGTTCGTCCCATCGGCGCTGACACATGTAGGCGTTACTGGTACGAAAACAAACGCAGAGCGCAAAGCGGCAGTGTAGAATATGTCAGCCGTGCCGACACAGTGGCAGACATGATCGGGACACCAAATTTCTCGCGTCGTGCGGCACGGCTCCATCGTTGTCGCTGTCCCACAAAACATCGGCGAGATGAAAACTGTAAAACTTTGTCTCCACGAGATACGACGCATAACTATTGAAGCACTTAATGACGCAGCACAGGCAGCACTTCATGCTGTGAACCCAGCGCAACAGCACCTCTCCGACTTCAACGCGTACCAACGTACGCGGCGTGGTTTCGGTTTCGTTTTCTCTGGGGTGCTCACTGCCTACGTTCGGTACCGGCCGCGCGGCGGCGCGCCAGTCGCGTCGCACGGAGTGTATAGGGAGTTTTCATATATCGTTTTCGGCGTCCCACAACGCTTTCCGCAACCCGCTGTGATATCCGGAACTCTAGAGTCAAGGCCATCGGCGCGCAGGCGCAGTAGGGGCTTCTTCGTTGCGGGGGGCTTAGTGGAGGGGGAAACGCGGTCTACGAAAACTCCCTAATGTACCTGAATCAATTGAACATCTTTTTTATGGGTAACTTATATTCCGTGCGTTTAGAGGTCTACTGTTTTCTGTAACGTTTCTTTTTTTTGTGTGTGTTGTATATATATTTCTTTTATTCTTCACCTGCTTTCCTCTCCTTCTTGTGTTGCATAGTATAGTCTGTGGTAATCTAGCTCTCTATGAACATTAAGTCCACTCCCGCTGGAGCCACAATTTTTTCCTTCCAGTATGCTGGAAATAAATAAATAAATACTCGTTGAGCGTAAAGGATGCTGGCTAACATAAGGTAAACGTTCTCTTACGAGCCGTTGTACGCTTTCAGCATGCATGAGTTTCTTCTTGTTTCGTAAACTAACCGGTGAACGAACGTGAAAGCCATTTGGTTACAGCCTCGTTCCCACTCTGCGTCTGGCGGATGGCCACTAAATACCCTGTCATACTTTTTTTTTTAATCGTGGATTAGCGCCGGTATCTCCATTCGAAGAATTGTTATCGAGTGTATACATGCCACGCGTTAAGCCAGTCGCTAAACTAACCGATGGAGAGCGCCGAGAGCGTACAGATGCCACACGTTTTACGTGCAAAATAATCGCCCAAAAAATTGCCATGCACATTTTGTTTTTTCTCCAAACCGCAATATGTTTTTTTGTTTTTTTTTTTCGACCGCAGCCGACGTTATGTGATCCGATGAAGCCAGTCTAGCACAACCAGAAGTGCACCGTCACGACGCTCGTCATTTTTGTGGGTTTGTTATCCCCTACTAAGCCAATCGCCCACAGTGAATGCCTCAAAATCTTAATCTTTTTTCCGTGTAATTGGTTTTATCAGAACGTAAACCGCCGGCTTTGGTCAAACGTGATGTGAGACTGAGTATAAACCAGACTGCTGGCACATGGCGTCCACGTGTACTCTTTGGTTCGAATACTCGCGTCGAGGAACGAGAAGGAGATGCTTATCGCAAAAGAGGCTGTTTAGGGTTAGCGATGCACTGCAAAGCTCCAGCAGTGTTGCGGCCCGAGCCACTTCTCTCCCCGGACGCCGAGTATACTGTACACTTCGTGCGGTCGGCGGGCGTCAGTGTTTTCCGCTAATCTCGCTGTTTAGTCTGAGTGGAACGAGGCACCACGTGTCCCGCACGACAGAAGACAATGGCGCTCGTTCCTGCAGCCGTGATAGCGGCTCCGACGTTTGCCCGATAGCCCCGTCGGGCCGCTGTTGCCAGCGGCTCGGTCCGGGCAAACGCTCTCGGCTTACTCCGTTCGCAGGGGTGAATTATCCTCCGCTACCCTGTACCCTTTCGCTGACCGTTACTGCGACTGCTGACCATGCGGCGCTATGGCCCGGAGGAACACCGTCCGTAGTGCTGCGGCGCTGGACAAGGAGGTGCTCGCTGGAACGTCGCGATCGCCGGTAGTCCTTGCGGTGGTTGCCGTTGTTATTGCCGGTGCTTGTCCGTTCCCGGTGCATCGGAGGACACGCGGCGAGATCTCGGGAGGAGCGCTCTGTTGACGGCGACGGCCTTGGAGGTGCCGGAAACGTTTCACCCGTTGTCCGTGGAAGGTCTTCGCTCGCAGTGTCGTCGAAAAACCGTGTTGCGTGCAAGTGGCAGACGGTCAGCTCTTCGAGACACCGATTCCCCTCGCAGTCGTCGAAGTCTACTTGACGTCCGACCAGTCCCTTTTCAAGAGGATCGAGGCATCGCGCTGCACACCGTATACCACGGGATCCGTCTTCGTCGACAAGACGTTTGGAAGATCCCCGTCGTCCTTGGAGACCAGACGGCGGACCAAGATTGGCGGATGACGTCAGGACGGCGACCACTTGGAAGTTGATCGCCACGCCACTTGGTCCTGGTGGTCGTGTTGCCGTGTCCGAGGGGCGCTCCGTGGGCAATCGGCAATCTCCGGAGGCTATCGTCGGCCGAGCCCGCCCGACTGTTCCCAAATAGGACTGATTTGTCAGCGGGCGGTCCGAGGTTTCCTTGTCCCCGTTTGGCGTTCGGAGAGGGTTGACGCGTACGCCGAGGCCGGCGTTTGGCGACCGTTTGTGCGTGAAGGATGGGGACGACACGAGTGAGCGGACCCGTGGTCGGTGCGTGCGCGTGTGTGCTTTGGCTCGGCGGACTGGACTAAACGGTGGGCCCCCCGGATTAGTAGAGGTGGGGAATTGACCGGATTAACGGACCGGGGCGATGGGACTTTACTACAAGGATCGCGTGGATTTGGATGTTACCGGGCCCCTGAGCGCCGATGACGACGTAAGTGAACCATCTTCCCAATCGTGCGTTTTTTTGGTTGTCTGGTTCTGGAAGGCATATTGGAATCCGTTCTCTGGTGCCGTCTGCTGTATTCCATTCTGCCAGGGTGTTCACTTGTCGCCGTCGGTATCCGAACCGGTTCGAAGTGTAAACAACGAAATAAGGGTCTATATAACGTTATTCGGCTGTTCTTATGTGAAGGACATGTGATGTGGGACGTTGTTGGCAATTGAAACCCAAGCACACCAGTGGCGGCTCAGCAATACACATGGCACTCCCTGTAGTTCATTCCACTCTTCACAGAAGTAGAAATCCTTCCCATGGAACTAAAACAGTTTAGTGGCGATATACAACTTTTCACAGTGAAATAAAGCACCTGACTACATCAAGAATTGCGATTGCCTAATGACCATGTGCAGGCGGGTCTACCGACTCATGTTTGTGACGTCATCACTTCAAGGCCGTAACGTTTAACATGGTAAAAACACCCCGAGACTGGGAGAACGAAAGGGCGGACAAACACAGCCGTCTTCGTCCTTTCTTTTACCCAGTCTCGGGTTGTTTTTACTCTGTTCAACTATCACCAACTTGTTTGCGCCCTAACCTTGTGACCGTGACGTCAGCTGTGAAACGGGGCTTGCGGGGTTCTTGCACATGAGCAGTTTATAAATCTACTTTGGGCACGCTCTTCTTTGTGAAGGAAAATTATTGTATATTGGGTATCCACTGGACGCCATATTTTAGGGCGCTGTATAAAGCGCATGCTCAGACCGAGCTCACATTAATAGGCTGTCAAGATCGTGAATCTTTATGCTGTGGAATGCACGTTGCAAAATAACTGTGGAAGCTTGCCATCAGCATTCGCTCAGCACTGGCGCGCTCAGCTATGGTCTGTAGTGAATATCCCCTACATAGACTGACTCTGCTACCCCAGCATGCCACCATGCTTCCTTCCTTTGACCCTCCGGCCACCGGAGGAATCACTTCAAGACCATTGCAATCCTCCTGGGCTGCCTTCGAATATCTTCGCTCTAGAAGTGGCAATTACCATGGGCCTTTAATGTGTGCACTCCACAGTAGTGGCTGTGCAAGAATCCATGCTGATATGCAAAATCAGGAAAGACACGGATATCTTATGGTTGGACGGACGGATAGGGAGACGGCTGAAGAGATGGATATGTAGATGAATAAGACTGAACCCTGTGAATCAGGCGGCGGCTTGCGCCACCTAGCCAGTGTTTCACGATGTCCGCGAGTCTGAAGGGCTGGGACAGCACCACCTAAAATAATCGAAAAACGCGAACAGCTCCCCTCTAGCCCCGTGGAACGTCGTCATCTTATAGGATGGTGCCAACTCGGCAAAAGAGTATTTTCAGAAGTGCGCGGCCTCTATAGTATCTGCCGCGTTGATTATCGCAGGTCGCCATGTTTTAGGCCTGGGCTTCGAGCATATGCATTGGACGACAGTGCTGCTGCGTCAGCGCTCGGCGTAAACGCGGGTCCAATATGGCTTTTCTTCAAACGTTCATCGAGCAACATTGGCTGTCGCCATTGCCAGTAACGTTGGCCATTGCTTGCATGCTCAGAGTATGGTAAACGAGCAATGGCGGACAGGCGATGGCGCGGACTTTTGAAAAGTGTCTATTGTACGCTCCCCGCAAAAACGGATGTAACCTAGGATGAATGGATGGATGTTAATGGCTATACCCTTTATAACAGGCGATAGCCTGCGCCATCTAGCTTAAGTATGAAAAAACAAACATATGGTTCCTGCCGCCCTTCTAAGCCAAATTTTTTCCCCCCATCCATCACCAGGTAGTGTGGTGTATCCAGTGGCGTCACTAGGGTCAGCGGCACCCGGGACGCCCGCGGCGACACCCCCCCCGAGCTCGTCGCCAGCCACCATAGCCCCCCCCCCCCCCCCCCCCCCCCCCCGTCGTGGCCCGTCGCGACACCCTCCAGAGCGCTGCACCCGAACGGTCCGCCCCGCAGCCCCCTTGTGACGCCACCATCAGGAGGAAAATATGGCGGCCGACAGTGTTGCTTGATGGACAGTCCGGGGAGCCCCGAGAGCATGATACCGGGCGTCCTTCGACGAAACTCATTGGACAGCTGATGCCCAGCCGAACGCTGACACGCCGCTCGTGAACCAATTTTCGTCTCGGCGCTCTGTCTCGCTGTTCTGACGTCAGAATAGGAGCGCACGCGGGCTTTGATTATTCTGCTGTTGGCTTTGAGCGTTGCCTTCACGCGGCGGCAGTCAGCCGAGGCTACTGCCGAATGCCTCTCTCCAGAGTGCGACGAACGAGCGGATGCCTTCGGGACGGTGTCCAGCTCATTTCGCGGAATCCCAAAGCGATAGTCGTCTGGTGATAGCGCAGAAAGCTAGACTGTGTTAGCATTGACGTCATCGGGTCGAGTCACTGCGTGCAGTGCAAAGGGGCATATACCCCAATCGTGTTTATTCCTTTGCTTTTTTTTTTTTGCTTCTTCTGCACTTCAATGGCAAAAGATTATGTGGGAGCGAAAGTTTGTTTGGAAGACCGTGAAGCAGTTTTTAGGTCTCCAAGCACCCCGGCCCGCACTGAGGAATCGTGGGAATGGTGTTCTTTCAGTTCCCTAGTGATCGATACTTTCGACCGACTCGACGCTTACACACTTTTGAGTGTGTAAGCACTCAAAGTGTGTGATTTCTCGTCAGTGTCAGTGTTTTTGATACTGTGCATGCAATCCACCCTTTAACCTGACTGAGCTGCAGAAATCTCTTACAATATTGTCATTCTCCTACAGATTCAAAGAGGCCAATATTAAGTTAGAGACTCTAAAATTGCTATAAACAGAGCCGTTGACTCCGAGCTAGATCCCGTTTTTGGTTTTTATGAATTCTCGGCTGTTTAAAGCAACTCTTGCCAAATCACCAGTCACGAGAATGATAAAATTGTAAGAGGTTTCTGCAGCTCAGGCCAGGTTAAACGGTAAATTGCATGCACAGTGCGCTGACATTGACGAGAAATTGTACAAGTGAAATGACAGGTTTCTACAATCTGCACGACTCTTATTCAGGAGGACTCCGGATGACACTCAAAAGTAAGTGGTCGAAATTACCAATTATTGGGGAACTGAAGGTTCCTCGAGTGCAGGCGGGGGCGCTTGAGTGATTTAGCAAATGGCCTATTGTTTGTTCTTTCCTCTACGAAACACACGTTTTAAGACCGTGGAAATTCGAGGCACAAGAACAAAAAAACAAGAACAAAAAACGTACAATGTCTGTCCTCTTTTTTTTTTCTTTTAGCTTCTCGGCTTTAGGTTTTGATATTGTTAATGTTTATTAGCTGGGCTGTTTCCTTTCTGTTCTTTATACGCATTCTAACATTGCGGCCCCCATCCATTCAAAGTCCTCCGTCGTTTCTGTTCGGGCTGCCTTTTTTGCGTAGTCCTCACTGGTTATGCTAACAACAGAATCAGACAAGGTTCGTTATTACGTGCAGAACTAAGTAGTCCGGTTAAGTTAATGACTCCAGTAATCAAATTAAAGAAAAAGAAGATAATATTTTTGGCGACCTGTCCGTAGCAGCTTTTATACCCCGTTCACCTATAAAGACTAGAAGCTCCGCCTTCAGCGCGAGCTCGCTGACTTCCGCAGTGCTTTGGTTGCGCGTGCCTGCGCGTTCACACTTGCGTTAGCAAGGTCGGAAAGCTCGCGCTGAAGGCGGAGCTTCTATAGACTCAGCTACAAACCGAGGATAGTTGCAAACATGTAATATATTCTTGGGGTAACGCCGACAAGGTTTGACCAGAGGAAAATTGGCGACTCCCTCGCCGGGGGGAAGAGGCAGGGGGGTGATGGTTTTAGTCTTCTTGCGCGATCTCCCTAAGGTCATCCTGGCGATATCCTACACTACCTGGTGATAGTTAGGGGGAGAAAATTGGCCTTAAAAGGGCGGGAAGAATCATGTTTTTTTGTCTTTTTAGACTTAGGCTAGATGGCGCAGACTACCGCCCGTTACAAAAGGTTTAGCCATTAACATCCATCCATCTATCCAAGATTGGCGGTCGCCATTTTTGGTGCGCAAAGCATGTGATTGGATCAGAGTCCTCACCGAAAGGTGACGCAACCCTCGTGCCCAATTAGGTGCTAAAATTATGTGCCCACCACACAATGGCGGACTAGATATAATTGAAATAGCAGCTACCAGATGGCGCGCGCACTTTTGAAAATTGACTATCGAGTTTTGTGTATGTTTAAGATAGCGTGTGCACTCCACGGCGACACTGTCAGCACAAGCATGACATTGGCACTTTCTCGCATTTTACTTTTAAAGGGTACTGGCAGGCATCAAAATTTACCACTTGCTGAGCGTATGTTCCACCACTATAGGTTTTGGTGACAATCCTTCAAAACTAAGAAGAACAACAAGAAAATACCGGGTGTGCTTTGTTCGTGCTAACAGTGTTCAGTCAAAAGTTTTGAAAAAGAAAAACAAAAAGACGAGCATGCTGGCCTGTTTGCTTTAGAGAAAGAGAGAAGGAACTTTATTCAAATCGGTCCAGCAGTTTTGCTTTAGGGTGAGAGATGGGGGAGAGAGTAACCCCTGTCCCGTTCCACCCTCCGTCGATGATGTGATGGAGGTGGTGGTGCCTCAGGTGACGGCTCGAAGTCCTTGGACCCGGGCGGCATCTTCCGAAAAATATTTGACAATCGTCTTTTTATTTTTTTTATTTTTTTTTTTTTTTGTGGGGCGAGGTGTTTTGCATGGGCGTCTGATTGTCCGCAAAATAAGAGCTGCAGTTTTGTTTATTTTTTCACGTGACGTATGGGACTGTGTTGTTTAGGTGACACGAAGGAAAGTTAAAAAAGAAAACCCAACACGGTGCAAGATATTTCTCTTCTTGCGTGTCTGGTCCTAAATTCTTCCATATTACTAAGTTTTTTTTTTTTTTTTTTTTTTTTAATTTGTGGTGCACTCTTAGAACACGAAAAATGAGAGAAAAAAACTGTG